TTGGAATCTCCTCCATAATGACCTCCGCTACCCCTTTCACCACCTTGATTCCGTTCATAAGGAATGTTATTATCGTATCCATTGGAATCTCCTCCATAATGACCTCCGCTGCTCCTTTCACCACCTTGGTTTCGTTCATAAGGACTGTTATTATCATATCCATTGGAATCTCCTCCAAAATGACCTCCGCTGCTCCTTTCACCACCATGGTTTCGTTCATAAGGACTGTCATTATCGTATCCATTATAACCTCCTTCATCGCCACCTTTATCAGGACTATTGTTTGAATTACCTCCACCTCCACCATTTCCATCACCACCACCGCCACCTCCTCCACCTCCTCCACCGCCTCCACCGCCACCGCCTCCTCCAGAACCGAGGAATGGTATCCCGATACCAAAGCCAAAACCTAAACCAAGCTGTAAACGGGTTCCAATATCTACATTAAAAAACGAAGCTTGTCCACTAACACCAAAATCAACGCCAAATGATGGATCGCTCACGCGCATGTTAAAAGCTCTGACACCAGTTCCAGTTTCGCTAAAAGTAAATTTGCTAGACTGCTTTCCTGTTTTATCGAAATTCAAAAATTCATTCTTTATCAAAGTCGTATCTGCGCATCCTTTCGATTTTTGGTCCCCCGAGCTCGTCAAATTCAAAAACCTATTGTGCATCCCAGTTACTCTTGAGCATAGAGTCGCCTCGCTGTCCCCCGATTCTTTAATGTTCCCGATTTCGTTATCTAATCCAGTTGTTTCTGAGCATAAAGTCGCCTTGCTGTTTTTTGATTTTTTAATGTTCCCGATTTCATTGCGATTCAAAGTGAAGGTTGAGCATAATTTCGATTTGCTGTCCCCCGATTCTGTAACGTTTTGAAATTCGGTATTTATCCCAGATATGTTTGAACATAAAGTCGAATCGTTGTCTCCCGTTTTTGTAACATTCCATAATTCGTTGCGTATCCCAGTTATTTCTGAGCATAGAGTCGACTTGTTGTTCCCCGTTACTGTAATGTTCCGTTCTTTATTATGTATCGCAGTTATGTTTGAGCATAATTTCGAGGTGTTGTCCTTCGTTTCTGTATAGTTTCCGATTTCATTATGTATCCCAGTCATCTTTGAGTATAAAAACGACTTGTTGTCATTCGTTATTGTAGTGTTACCGATTTCATTGTGAACACCGGTAAATTCTGCGCAGAAAACCTTATTGGTGTCTTTTGCAACGTTTATGTTATTTATTTCATTGTGTTTTCCAATCACATTTAAACAAGCGACCTTGTTGATATCATCTTTAATGTTTGATTTTCCTATTTCATCTTCCTTGTCCGTCATTTTAACCTCAAAGTTCCCATCTTCATCTTTGCCCTGTTCTACTGCTGTTGATACGTCAGATACGTCATTAAAGTCAACAATGTCAAGAAATTCTTTGGTCTATATGTGAGAATTAATGGCTATAATGAGAAAATAATTAAATATTTGTTTGATGTGGCACATACTGTACATACCTCTTGAATGATTCCAAAGGTATCACAAGCACCGTCAGAAGTTAAAAAATCATCACCGTCGGAAGTAGAATTATTTGAATCATCATCATTAGGAGGTGAATCAACGATACCAACCGAAATGGTTTCAAGTGAAGATTTTAGTTCTTCTACAAGCTTTTTGGCCTCTACTTCTTCTTTTGCATGGATGGCCTCATCTCCGCGATAGATGATGCCGTTGCGTATGTAGATATTTTTATCTTTGTATTTCATATTATTTATTATTACTCGAGAGAAAAAAAAAAAGGAATAACTGAGGGGATTTTGGCAAATATGACGAATTCTTTTTTAAAAGTGAATCCTTTTCAAATGAATTACTCATTTAGAAAAAAAAAAGTTCCCAAGCTATGTTTTGTGTGGTAAATCACAAGGACATTCTTTTGTTTTGTTTTTCTCATACTAATCAAAACTGTTTTCAAATGACCGCTTTGATTCCATCTATGGATATGTTGAATTAATTTAACCAAAATAAAAATTTTACCAATTTCGATTTGTCAATTGATCGACATGGGCGCGTTTACAAAAAAAGTCTTGAGAAAATAAAAAAGTGAAGAGGAAAGGTTATATTGGAAAAGGGGGACATATAAAATATGTAATCAAAAAGTTGGTGTAACAATGTTGTTTATTTATTAAATAAATACACTGCCCTACACTAAATTACCGGATTTTAGTCATGTGATTTAGTACATCGGTTTCACAATTGGCGTTTTTGTCCTATTGTGCATAAAAAAAAAAAAAAAAAAAAATTAAATAAATTTGTCTCTCTCTTCTATTGTCAAAATGCGAGGAAATGAGTTGTCAAATATA